TGATCATAATCCACATAACGATAAGGAAGCAGAAAACAAACCTTTGTGGCCTTAAACACTGTGAGGGTCTCAGTCGTGTCAGGCAAAAACCAAACAGGTCTCCTGTCAGCGCGTCGGCCTCAGTCCAGTAAACAACACAGCTCATGTGCCGGGTCCTCTCCTCCCCCTCCTGCATCACCCAATCAAACATTATCACATGAACCCAAACATCTTATACCTTCCATCATCACTGGGCCTTCTGTTGAACTGAGAACATCCTGACGACAATATGACCATACTACAACTCCTAATAATTAATAGACTATCATATACTACACGGATGTCGTTAGCATTCCGAGCCTATGTAATAATAATAGATCACCCTCAGTTTCTACATTATCCAATAATATGATTAAAATGGACCTCGTAAAAAAAGTCTGTCTTGCACACATTTTTAGGATAAAAAATCTTTTATATATATTTTTTGGCAAAACATACACACATTAAAGAGTATGACACGACCACAAGCTGTCATGTTGCATAGTATTCACTTCCTTAAATTCACTAACATCGGTACACCTTTTCCTGCGCGGCACTTCTTGACCACATTGAGGAACATTTGGTGACTGTTACAATGTCATATTCGTGATATATACCACACTACACCTGTCTTATATTATTAGTAGGCTGATTAACCACACAGGTAGATACTACAAAGGGGCATTCGTTGAAGGCCAGAAGGGCATATGTGAGGCGACCACTCAGTTCTACACACATTATATATCACGTCCAATGTAACTTTTATCTGGATAAGCCATATGTAAGGCGATGAACAACGGACAATAATACAGAATTCCCAGTATTATATCACAGTATATACGAGGTTAAATCAGGGCTCACGACACAAAAAAAGGCAAAGGAAACACATTGTCAAAGCGTTCCATCTGCCCTATTCGCCGATATAAATTGTGCAGTCTAACCTTGCCACCTATCCAAAAAAATAGGACAGGAACAACACCAACAGATTCCAACAATACAAAGGCTCTGTCACCATTTTACATTGACGTGAGAGATAGATTCAGACAAACACAAAAAAAGGCTACAACGCATGTCTGATCACTGCACCCTCTACCCAGCTGCTCAGGAATCACTTATAACCAACACGTCTGTTGTTCGCCTCTCTTCTACTCTCCTTTTGTTGTACTTCCACTCTTTTCGTCCCCTTCACGTCTCAATTCCTATCCCCTCCTGTCTTTATTTATCTACACCCTGTGCTTCCCCTTCCCCCCTATATCTTCCCCCATCACATGTACCTCTCCACTCTGGTAATGCACTTGTCCTTGTGCGTGGGGATGTTTTGTATGATTTGTGTGTGGGTGCCCTGAAGCCTGCTGCTTCGCACCACCCGACAGGGCCCACCTCTGCTGCCACATGGGGGACTGGAGTCCGACCACCACCACCTGCTCCCCCTCCCACGGACATCTCCCAGACCGGCAGGCGCTGCAGAACGACTAACACAGAAGCTGCTACGACCTGCTGCCCCACAGCGACCTGGAGAGGTAGGAGGACTCCTGTCTGCGAGAAACAGCCTCGTGTATAAGTCTGAGACAGCTCGTCAGCTGGTTCCCATAAATGCACGCACAATGCTTAATTTCATTGAATGATATGGAGGCGATTTTACTTTCAAATTCCTTTTTGGTTCTACTACATTTTTATTTTCATGTTGATTTTTTACTAAAAGTATTCTGAAAAGTCAGTGGACCCAGTTCGAATGCGGGCCGTGGAAAATTTCTGCATATCCAACACCTGTCCTCTCTTTCGAAACCATAACAAAAAAATAATCATATTGATATAAAGTAATCCAAATATAACTTTTTTAGACTACTGGCACTTTCTTATGGCCACCTTCACATTCAGAAAAATAAAACAAAAAACGATTCTAAGTTCCAATAGACCTATTTTCCCAGTTTTCGTGTATAAGGCTGGACACGACCAGTCCGTATTTTGGCGAACGATGGGCGTCAGGCGATGATGAGCGTCGACACAGCCCTGCTCAGATTGGTGTGTCCGCACCGTTGTGTCTTTCAGCCTGCCAACACCTTTTCTGCTGAAAACCCACCGATCGACAGATCATCGGACCAAAGGCTGTCGCAAAAAAATCCACTGCTGATGGGCTGTTCAGCTAGCAACATCAGTGCAGGAGAAGCGAAACGGAAGTGAGGGACCCAAGACAACTATTTAAGAAGGCCAAATCTAGATTTCATGTTAAAGTACCTTCGTGCTATATTCCTGAATAATATAGTGTAGGGCCATGCGTCAATACGATAAGGTATATTTATACGTTTAAAAAAAATTAACCATACAGATCATGCATTTTAGCCATGACTCATTTCGCTCTATTTGCTCTCCTCCAGCCCCGTCTTTGCATGAGCTGCAGCTGAGCACGCCCCCCTGCAAAGGAGGGGGCGAGGCACGAGCGTCATGTTACCATGCTGTTACCATGCTGTTACCATGCCAGGGCAACCTCTTATTCCCCTGATAGGTGGAGAGTTGCCCATATACTAAGCGGAGCTCGTTGTTTCTGACGTCAGAGAATTTTCAAATCTGTATCAGTCTGTATCAGATCCGTTGCAGCCCCGTTTTTAGAGATTTGGGAAAAGAGAGAGGGTTGTGTTTTCTGAGACTTGGTGAGTTCCCTGACATACCGGGGACACATATTCATGTATAAAAGACGTACAAAAGTGCATTTTGCATGATAGGTCCCCTTTAAATAATATCTGAATCAGATCTGCCTGAGCTAAGAGTTACCAGGTAATCATGAGATGTTTATCACACCTTTTCATCAGCCAAGGGCGTTTTTCTCACAAGCGCTCTGCCATATCAAGATGATAGAAGAATGGACGTTTCTATTGTAGCGCTCATTGATACGTAATCCTGATGGCACACTATGGTGCTTTCTGGAAATACAACTCTAACAATGTCTCTGTCATATGGTGCATTCATTGGTAGAAACACCTATGCACTGGGTAGAGCTGATGGTGAGCTGTGTTGAAGCTATTACATCAAGGAAACACACCAACAATGCCATTAGCAGAATGAACGAGGCAAAACACACAAGATAAAAATGTGTAAAGTAATAGCTTTTGAACAACATTAGAAAAAGTCCCTTTTAATTACAGGTTTCATGTATCTCCTAATGTCTTCTTAGCCAAAGAAACTGGCCTCAAATCTTAAAGTGGAATCAGATATCGTTTTAACTTTCCTCCCTTTGCTTTCTTCAAGTGGTTATGTTGTAAGCTTTGCGGTCATAAA